ATTATGGGATGTGGAAAATTTACGCGGTCAGTTTATTTATAAATTTGTTTGCATTCTGCCATTCTGAGTTTTGTAAGTCAAAGTAATATGCATACAATGGAACTCATTAGTTCTGAGTAAGAATTGGATGTAGAGGGGTCTGTAGAAAATTGGGAATTTCTATGGACCTTCTATGGACCTTTGGATTTTATAATTCCAACTCAAATATTCTGTTAAATTCGTAAAAAAAACCTCTGGGGAATGTGAAAGATGGGAACCACACTCTCTGAATTCCGAACTGTCACGACATTCTCCAACCTTCTCTAGCCCATTTCACCATTCGATTGCATTCCCATTTCTATTTCTCGATGGTGATCTTGACCTTTAATCGAGCCACAACCGAGATTGGAGTGCAACCGAATTGCAAATCACTCGATGTAATGCGGTTAGGTTGTTTTTGTTTTCTGTTTGCCTACCTGCCCACTTAATCGTTGCAATTAAAGACGATAATTGTTAATTGCTTTAGTTTCGCGCACTTTCTTCCATTTGCCCAGTCGATCTGTCAAGGAGCAAGACAAATCTGACAATCGTCAATTAAGCTTTCGAATTGTTTGTGTTTGTTTTTGCGTTGGATAATGGATAATGGATACTGAATACTGGATAATGGGTAATGGCGTTGCCTACCCACCTACCCCACGGGCACTTCAGCCCCATATACTAGTTGCAACCCCCTCCCTTCGCGCCCTTGCACATCCATCACACTCTCAAGTGCCTGAAATGCTAAATGCTTTCAATTTTCGCCATTAAGACAAGCCTACAAATGGTTTATAAATTATGCCGTGCACGTAGCTCTCGCTATATAGCTGTATCTGTATCTGTATCTCTGCCCCAACCTCCACTTGTATCCGTATCTGTATCTAAGGCATCGGCCGTAACAGCAGCAGCAATAAATGTCTATAGAACGGGTACACGGGGAGAAAATATCAAAAGTTTTGATCATTAATATCTATACCATTTTTAAAGGTGAAAAAATGGAATTTTTTATATCTTTTTTAAGATTATATTTTCAAATTCCGAATATAGTTCATTATTAAGAACCCCAAGTCAATGGTATTTAATGCGAATTTTTCTCTCTGCTTATAAGTTAATAAATTGAATTGTGCAAGCACGCACATTTACTCATCCACATGAATGTATTGGGCTGCAGGTACTTTACCGCACCATCCAACTGCCCCGCCCCTCTAACGCCCACCATATAATGCCCTCGATCGTGTCATCCGTCACATACTCCACAAACTGTTGACTCGTCCGTCGCCCGAGGAATTTTATCCACTATGTGGGGCGATCTCATTCCATCATATGATCAAATGATCCCCCGGGCAAACAGATGCATCCGATTAAGCTGTCGGTCCCCCCAGGTTGATGCTCTGATTATAAAGTACAGATCGGGGGACCGACTAATGCCGACTTTACTACTGTAAAGTACTAGACCTACTGCTTATATAATACCCATCTAATTATCGTATATTGATTGTACTTTAATTGTCGACATCAAATATTAATCGCTCAACTAAACTGTACTTCAGAGATCATCGAAAGATCTGCTGATTTGATGATCGTTTTGTTGATACTATGAGATTGCGATAAATAAATCGATATATTAATCGCTCAACTAAACTGTACTTTCGAGATCATCGGAAGATCTGCTGATTTGATGATCGTTTTATTGCGATAAATAAATCGATTTTATGAGTGGTTTTCTAACCACCATATTTACGTGACCGGTGAACCATAGTTGACCCTATGACATTTATAATTCACCCGAAACTATCAGTTCCCAATGTAAATCCCACGAACTAAATTAATGTCTAAACGCACGTATATGTGTACGCAAATCGAGATGATCATCGGCCATTATATTTCGTATCCTAAACTGCCCAGCACACGACAATTTAAAGCTCCCGGCACGAACAGCAAATGTGTCCGTTCCCGCAATTATATATTCAGGTAAATCCCTCGCCAAAAAGCCTCAAAAACCTCAAACCCCATCAAAACAAAGAGCCACAAAGAAAACGAGGAGAGATTCGAGAGACATTAAATGGGGATATGGGATATGGGATTCGATTCGATTCGTTGGAACGCAAAGAAAATCGAAATTGTGGGGGGCCAACGAACCGACCGAATATTCTTCCCCGAGTATTCCCCCAAAAAAGAAAAACTTTTCCGCCATTAAACGGCGCGTGAGTCCCCGGCTATTTGCGGAACCGGAGAGCTGATCTGGTTACAAAAAATTGTTACATGGACGGGGGCTCACGTAGTATTGCATCTAATAATATAAATTATGACGACGATCGTAAATCTTGGGATATATTTTTGGCTAGTTGAGCATGGCAAATATGGGGCGATATCATAAATCTCAGCAGAGATAGTGAGGCCCAGCCTAGTAACATGTAAAATAGGTAATAGCTATCCACCTATTTTTTAAAGGTAAACAAGTTTACATAATGATCCAAAATTCTAATAATAAAATTCAGTTTATACGACATAAGATAGTATCACTAATCGATAATTGAGATGAATCATATTTAAAATAGCTCACATTTTAGCTGACTAATTTTACTCACGCCCACTGTCGGTGACTTTATGATTTGTAAATTATTTGTAAATAATAGAAGTACTTCTCCTAATTGCCTTTCTCTGTCATTTCTTGATTTACCCCCTTTTGGGTGGGGTTCCAAAGCACTCGGTTCGAAAATGTACTATACTATATAACAAGCTCACAAATGCCCAATATTATGGCCCATAAACAATATTTGCGAAAACAACAACTCGCAAAAAGTTCTGTTTGTCTTTTCGGCTGATTTAGTGCGAACACGTCCATAGATCAGTCCTTGCACCGACACACAATCGACGGGGGATTGGAATTGGGATTGCTAACCCATTTCGGGGGACTGTCGGCCTGCCACGCTTCATCTACGGATTAGGCTTCCATCGCGGGATTCCGAACCCAAAACCAAAACCAAATTCGGAATGGCGAACAATTAATTGCCGGCTGGGTCATAGTTGTGTGCCCGGCATACTAACTACCTCCCTTTTCCCGCCGATCAGACAGCAGATTATTAACAATAAATTATGTTTATTTCTTGCCCACTCCCCCATCGAAAGCCTACAAATGGTTTTGGCTTTGGTTTTGCTTTTGTCGATTTCGGGATAGCCAAGGTCGCAATCGTGGAACTGGGACTGCTTGTCGGCACAGATCAAGTTTATTTCTGGGTTGGGCAGCCACTATTGCTTCAATGATGCCTGAACTTGTAATCATTCTACGGATAGTGTAAACAAGTTGAAAAAGCGATTGGTTTATGCCAAATATATAAGCATAAGCACATTTAAAGATCAAAGAAGTATTAAGATTATAATATATATTCCAAAAACTATCTCTCTTTTACATTCTCCACACTGCACTTCATTGCAGTGACTAATAAACTCAGGCGACATTCTACTCCGCCCAGTAGTAGAACACCCATGTGGTTTTCCCTCGAATCCGAGCTGGTCCATCTGGCTTGAAACATCCTGTTTGCATTGATGCATGCAAATCTACATGGGGTTTCCCCCCGTTGATTTATGCCATGCATTTTCGATTTGTACTTATCACTTTTTTGAGACATTTTCAATTGAGTGGACTTTGAGCTCTAGTTGTGCGTTCCAGCGAAAAACCAATGACGAAATGTTGAAAAAACAAAAATAGTCTGTCATCAGTTGTTATGTTATGAGGTTGGTAGTTAAGTGTTGCTAAGATCGCAGTTCGCAGGCAGTCGCACGTCTGCCAAAAAAAACAAAAAAAAAAAAATAAACAAAAATTCTGCGCACGTTCGCTCCTCTGACGTCTGCGCCTGCGCTGTAAGAGAGCTTTCGGCACTACGCGCTTCTAGCTCCCACCTGCCTCCTCCGCCCCCACGGCCACCCAACTCCTCGCCTAGATGGCCGCCACAATTGTTGCCGTGCGGTTTCAGTTTCATTTCCGGTGGCAGGCAACGGACGGCGCTTAAAGCGCGCTTTATATTTGCTTTTTCTTACAAGCCAGCACAGCACACACTCATATCACGAAATGACCATTTTCGGATTGGAATTAATTTTCTGTGTTTGCTTTTCGAAATGTATATGATTCGGGTTCTGATTGCGATGAAATCAGTAGTGATTCATCCAGGAGTACAGTCATTACTCCACGCCACGCATAGGAGAGGGGGGCTGTCGATTTCAATAGGTGTTAGCCTGGCACTATCACATAATTGAGAGTGAAGTGAAAAGTAAAAGTGAAATACGAAGCTAGAGTGTGACTTTCAAAGTAAACTTTCAACTGGCGCCCGAAGCAGGACCGCATGCGCATAATTGGCGCCCAACGTGGGGCCAGGCAGTTTAAAGAGCCTGGCAATGCAACACACCCACTGCCAATCAAAGTCCCGCGTAACGTCTTTCGTTTTTATATTATTGTTGTTGACTTCTGGCTCGCTGACAGTAAATGAGGTCCATAAACAAAAACCCCCTGACCCAGGAGGTCGTCGGCAGGAAGGGTTTACCAGAGCGGCGGCTGGGTTTAAAAACAAAAAGCGCCGTCCGCAGCCAGACAAGATTCAGATTCATTCATACCCCAGCGCTTAGAACACCACCAGTCCCCAGTCCACAGCCCACATCCCACAGCTCCCGACGGAGAGATATTGTATAAACGAACGCCGCTGAGAGAGCGGAAGAATCGTATATTGAATCGTATCGGGAAGAGAGAGCGGAGAAGCAGCCCGCGCTGAGACAACGTCAAGAATCCGATTCCGAATCTGAATCCGAGGCAAAAAGCTTCAGACCCGGCAGCAGGCGCTTCATTCTCGAGTTGCGGTCCAACGGGTTAGCAGCTCAGCTCAGCTTAGCGCGCAAGCAGTCGCCGTGCGTCGAATCTTCGGCAAGCAGTTCGCTTCGAGTCTTTTTTTTCGAGTGGTCTTCAGTTCTCAGTTTTGAAATCTTCTGTACGAATTATGCCTTCGGCCACATTTGTCCTGGAGCACTTGATGGCGGCACAAACGCGTCTTAACGAGCAAGCCGCATCGCCAGCAGAGGTCAAAATCAGCACCACCAGCACCACCACAACCACCGTGGTTAAAGCCACCAAAGCCAAGTCGTACGAGAAGAAACTGCTGCTGGCCCTCAAGAAAATTGTGCAATAATAAACAACACTCTATTTTACAAACTATATAGACATTTCACCTTAATCGAGCTGACTAAGATCAATAAAAAAAAAAAAACAGAGAAACAAAACAGAAAAACAAAACAAACAGCGGCAACAAAAACAAGAATTCTAGTTTCTGTGTGTGTGCTTTTTAAGTGTGTTTTGCGAGTGGGCAAGTTGTTACATAAAAACGTAAAAAAGTAATATAAAAAGCCCCCGAACCAAGACGCATTTTTCCGCAGTGGAATACTACCGCTTCTGTATTTTTGTTTTGGTGCGAAAAAAAAAACGAGAGTGAAGAAAATGCTGTTCAACAAATGCCTGGAAAAGTTGTCCAGCTCGCTGGGCAATGTGGTCAATCACAAGCTGCAAGAGAAACAAGTCTACAACAATAATAATAATAATATAAATAATAATAATAACAATAGTAGTAGTATAAACAACAATGCGTACAATAAGCAGCGGAACTTTGAGTACGAGAGGGCCATTCAGGCGCACTACGGCGGCAAGGGAAGGCGATCGGAGGAGCGGGAGAGGAGCGGCAAGTTGAGGGCCAGCAAGGGTCAGAAGTCAAAGGTCACGCCACCGGAAGAACCGGAAGTGGAGACGGCCTGCAAGAAGTGCATGACCCACGACGAGCTGGCCCAGATCATCAGGGGCGTCAATCAGAGCCAAGGCAATCAGATTAATCAAAACAATCGCCTCCAGCGAAGACGTCGTCCCCTGTCCGCCCAGCCATCCGCCGCCGCCTCCGCCTCCACGTCCACGGAGTCCCTGCACCGGCTCACCCCCAGCCCCCAGGCCTCCTCCTCCGCACATGCCTCCTACCCGGCCACGCCCACCTCCTGGTCGGCCACCCCGCCCCAATTCCCAGCCGCCTTCGGGGGAGCCAGCTGCTCCGGCAGCACCCTCTCTCTGCTGGCCACCATGCGCGTCCAGCTCCATGGTTACACGTAAGTTCAGAACTGGGAGTCCAGAATTTTAAACCCACAAAAATAATCATCAAATGGGGGTAGCAAAAAAAAATAATCGAATTTAACGTAATTAACTGATTTGGGGCGCGTGCGAAATGAAACGTTAATTGTTATCAAAGTGCGAATTACTAAGTTCGTAGGCTGCCAACTAAATGATACCCAGCAAAAATTAAGAAAGATCCTATTAGATTCTTAAAAAAATGTCTAGAAACATTTATTGGTTTGAGTGATTTAGCATATCAGAGGTATTTAAGGGATATAAATAAAGATAACGTAATTTTTCAACGAATTATTAATTTGCTTAGACTGCGAACTAAATGATACCCAGCAAAAATGTAGAAAGATCTTGTTAGATCCTTAGAAAATGTCAAGAAACATTTACTGGTTTAAATAATTTAAAATATCATATTATTATTATTAATTAAATAGCACTGTATATTTAAAAAGATACATATAAGATAACATCCTTTTCTAACAAATTATTAATTTGTTTAGACTGCAAACTAAATGATACCCAGCAGAGAATGTAGAAAGGAAAGTTAGATCCTTAGAAAATATCAGTGGTATTTTAGAGCTATGTAAACATAATTTTTGTTAGAAATTTTCAAGATATCTAGAAAGTATAGTCTGGTTATCAGATAGTCCAAATATAATCACCATCCTATCCGCCCTGTTTGTCACATGTCACATGTCGTAGAGTAGCTAACGAACGAATCGAGAGAAGTCTGGAGCCAATCTGCTGCCCATTAGCATTAACCCTAATAAGGCAGGCAATCACAGGCAGTTGACGCCGAAACAAATAACAAAAAAACAGAAAACACAAAATTGTCATGTGTTCAAAATTGCCACGCAAATGAGTAATTATTTACGCAAAATATTCGACAACAAAAACAACAAGCAATCGTGCGGACGGAAAAAAAAACGTCGTAAATTGACGTTCTAATATGAATGAATGTCCACCGAGCGAAGTGAAGGGAAATGGAAATGGAAATGTAAATGGAAGATCGGATCGACACTCAAATATGGTATATCAACCCTCTCACACAATTAACCCATTGTCAAGTCAAGTATTTCGATATTGATTTTAGCATTTAGAGCTGAAGATTGAGTTGTGGGTGGTGAAGATCCCAGCATCCCAAGCTCCCAATTAGATATTACGCACTTGTAGAACCAGGGAGTTCGTCGAAATACCCACTGCAGACTTGGTATCTGCCAGATCGGATTATCTCTTCACTCTCCTCCAGAATGTTTACCCATGTCTCGGTGTCCGTTGTCCGTTATTCACATTCCCCAAAGATTCCATACCATACCATCTTATCCCACTCCCTATACGATCTCAGTGCTTATCTCCGTAGCTTGTGCCATGTGCCGTCCCGTCCGTTTGTTTGTTTGCTCTTTGTGTGGGCTGTCCCCGTCTTAGAAGTCTCGATTCGCACATTTCCCCAGAATACCTACATATACATATCTGCCGGAGTATTGTGTCCCATAAATTATCTTTGACTTTTAGTTGAGCTTAAATTGGTATTATTGTCGGTTTCGGTTGGTTATTTATGTTGATGCCTATCGCGAATTGATTCATTATCGGCATGAATGTGTTGATTGGCTTGTTTCGGTGATCTATGGGAGTTTTGCCCTCTGGTGATAATATTTAATTGGCTTCTAATTTATGCTAAGCTGAAGAAATATTCTTTAGCTCGACGATAGTCGAGTTGATGCTTTGTAGAGATAATAAATTGAGTTATTATTTGTAAACGTAAATCATATTAAATAGTTTCCGGTGCCCGAATCGCGAGTCACGCGTCTGTCACTTGTCACTAGTCACTTCACTAGGTCAATAAAAATGGGGGAAGCCCCGCCTTCTACCGCCCCCATATCACCCTTTCCGCTATCACTATTAATCTCCCGATGCTTTTATTTTTCTCGCCATACGGCTGATAATGGCTTTCCAGCGCTGCCTTCTGTTTTGCATATTTCCGTTTTTTCCATTGCACAACCGTGTGCAGTGTTGTGCTGTTGCTGATCAAATAAAAACGCTTTAATTTGTGCAAATTCATGCAGCCGGCCGACTACAAGATGCTCTCAGTGGAAAGACCCAACCGAAAGAGGGGGAAAAACTCCACGGAAAATTTACTGTTCTCGTGGAACATCTCCAACTTTTAAGCTCTCTAGCGATTCACGGAGAAGATAGTTTAAAAAGGGATTTTTTAAGGAGTACAATAACCATTTCGATTAATCGATCATCGATAAAAATCAATGCTCTCCTTTTGAATAGGCTGTACTTGATGCTTAAGTGACTGCTTGAGTGGGCGGTTGGTGGTTAGGGTAAGCAGCTCATTCGATACCTTTCCGAGTTGAGAAGTTAATTAAATGAAGGCCTCAGTCCCCCTCCCCCCTCGTAACCCCCATAACACCCGTTTCGCTGCCGCCTTTCCAGGTGCGTTGGCACACAAAAAAATAAATAAACCTGTGACAAACGAAACGATTAAAAACACCCGCGGATTCGTACATACATGCACTCATATTCAGATATTATTGTGCACAAATAAGTTGCACATATTCGTGTGTGCATGTAAATCTGTTTGTTGACCTTAGGCGGCGCTTTCATGAATGGCGCGCAGCTTCAGTTTTTAGCTTCCTTCGTATGTAAATATATCACATTCGTATGCGCTGCTGTAAGTGTAACTGTAAATGATGCAAAAAGTTGTGAAATTTTCACTGACGTACTCCTTCTCTTGATATTTTTGTCGATTTTTTGTCCGATTAAAGCTCAACCCCCTTTAATCGTCGGGGGAGAGAGTAATTTGTGCTGTGTCGTATTATCGTCACAGTGCTAAAATTAAAGATCAACACCGAAATATGGGTGGAGACAAAGTTTGGCAGTGCGGCACAAAGGATACGAGCGATATGATCGATGTGGGGTGCGATAATTGTTAAGTTCAACTCGATTTCACGGGGTCAGACGCCAGAGGGCGCTGCGTCCCCCAGTTTGAGCCATCTCTCCACTCGGATCTCGAGATGATCGCAAATAAACGATCGGCTAAACAATACGCCAATGTGCTAATAGATGTGGTCCGAAAACTGTGAATTGTCTTATGCAAATATCGCGAGAACCTTTCCATACACAAATGTGTTGTATATGTATGCTGAATCACCGCAAAGAATGCGCAGTTCGTAAATATTGGCCGCAATTTCTGGTAAAACGGAAATAGCTTCCTTCTGGAAGATGACTAGATTTTTGCCATTTATTTTTCATAGTATTTTCAACTAAATAGAAGAAAAGTACAGCTGCCTCCGGCAAGCAGTTCACAAGCTTTCGATACATTTCAAGCAGTGCGCTTGTAATAGATTTTTTAACTTCCGTTTTGCTAAAAATAAACCCATAGAACTCATTCTTATCACTCGCCACCGATCGGAACACCTTGAATCTGTAACAGGCTGGAAAAAAAAAAAAAAAAAACAGAGCGAGGAAGCGAGAGCGAGACGGCTGAAGTGGAGAGAGGAAGACGGATAGACAGCATTGAAATGCACGACTGTGTGTGTGTGGCTCTAATGTAATGTTAATTGTTTCTACATGAATTTCTATTAATAGCCAAGCCACACGGAAGATGAATTGATTTGGCTGGCTAAAATCAATCAATATGCACAGCAAACATTTTCCATAAATATCATAATCATAAATTATAGGCTATGAGAAGTGATCTATGATATCCCAAAATAAAATGACATAGTTTTTGTTCTCTGTGTAGGGGGTGTTGGGGATATGGATATCCGGGGCAACTGGGCTCTTCTATACATTATACATGAGTTTCCAGTGTCTCCCTGCCCACCACCACCCATATTCTCGCATTCTCATTCTCGATGACATATTTTATGATATCTATGACCCCAGGCACTGAATCGAAACCGGCTTAAGGACAACCCAATGTTGTCAATTGTTTTCTACATTTTGCTCGAATTCCGTGTCTTTTTTTTATGCCTTTTTTGTTTGCTCGGTGGCGACGAACTCGAAAGCGGGCTAAGAGATGGACAAGTCGACGGCGGCACATAGCCGATAATGGCATTCAAAGCAAGTTTTTTAAGTTAGTGTTATTTATGCAAAATAGTAGGAGGCAGGCGGGCAAAAATAAAACAAAACCAATGAACCTATAGGCTTCAAATCGAAGTGCGAAATACGCTAATAAACGGTTCTTTATCATTTATTTAGTTTAATTTTTTTGCCACTGCTTGTTAGTTTTTTTTCGGGGCTTCTTTAGGCCTTTGAAACCGCAGTAGTTCTCGGTTTTAAGCTTAATTTAACCGCCTTTTTTTTAGTATGTCACATAGCTAAATACTATTTCTGTTTCAATTGCAATTGCCATGGCAATCTCAAGTCTGTCAAGTCGACTAAGCTGAGCAGGCCAGACGGGTCGACTTATAAGTCCCGGGCCTCAAGTAGCTGGCTTCGATTCAACTTGCGCTTTTCCACACGGCGTATGCGTGCTTTTGCCACCATTGCATTGCTGTTGTTATTGCCATTGTCGCCTTGCATTTGACTGTTTTCTTCCAACTTTTGCTGGTGTGTGCTTTAGCACATATATTTCCTACAGTGCGACCTCTCTAAATCAATACTTGAAAGTTTTGAAAATTAAAAATAAAAAAAAAAAAATTTTTTTTTTTTTAAATTTAAATAATAATAAACGTTTCAAATACCCACAGAATTTTCGAACAGTAAAACTTTTTTAAATGATTACTTAAAAATGTACAAATAATACAATATACTTTATAGATCTTTAAAATATTTTGAAACTTTAATCACTTTCACTCCACCGAATCTTCACTGTACCTATATTCGATTTGTATTTGCGCTGCCTGGTTCCTACTCGTGTTTGTTGTTGCTTTCCGTTGGTATTGCGGTTGCTGTTGTTGCCATTTTAGCTGCTTTTGCTGTTGTTGTTGTTATTGGCACTAGTATTTTGCGCTTTTGTGCGCTTCTCGTATAGTTTGTAATTGCATTTTGAGCGCACACGTAGTCGCCAGTCGAGCACTCAGTCAGTCAGTCAGTCAATCGCTCAGTTAGCTCAGTTTATTCAGTGGATGTGCCATCGATCGGTAGATTTTTACCCACATATTTAATTATATATTAATGAGCATCCTGAAATTGGCATCTCTTTCCAGATGGTTTCATGGCAATCTTTCCGGCAAGGAAGCGGAAAAATTGATCCTGGAGCGAGGCAAGAATGGTTCGTTTCTCGTCCGTGAATCTCAGAGCAAGCCTGGCGATTTCGTCCTCTCCGTGCGGACGGACGACAAAGTAACGCATGTCATGATTCGATGGCAGGTATGTAACCACCTTAACTAACCAGATATTATGGATATAACAAAACCCCCCCATCTCCCCCCTGAAAAATGCAAAGTAGCCAGCTACAAAGTCGCACTGCCCATAAAGTTCCTCATCGCTCGACCTTGGCTCTATAGTCGAGTCATATGTGCATTTATTAACTGTGCTGCACAGCGCAAAACAGTCTACAGTCTAGCCTCCTTACGTTGGATTTGTCATTCTAGTAGAAAATAAAAATGGCTAAAATGGCCCATTATCGAGCGCTTACTGTCTGAATTCAAATCGCCTGCGCGCACTGCTTGCAGCAGGAGCAAGCAGTGCAGTTCCAGTTTCAACGTAATTCCCCCCAAAAACAATTTTTCCACTATTACTACAACTTTAGCACGGTTTTTGCGGTTTGCGGTTGCAATTATGCCATTTACATGTCTACCTGGCCTTTTACCCATTTGACATTGCAGTCACGTTTTCGATTTTATTAGCTAATCTCTTGACGCTCCATCGAACCCGAGAACCCGAACCCAAAACCCCCTCTATAATAACTTGATTTATATATACAATATATCGAAATCCGCCTTTTGCAGGACAAGAAGTACGATGTCGGCGGCGGCGAATCGTTTGCCACTCTGTCGGAACTAATAGATCACTACAAGCGTAATCCCATGGTGGAGACGTGTGGAACGGTGGTGCATCTGCGGCAACCCTTCAACGCCACCCGAATCACGGCGGCCGGAATAAATGCCCGGGTGGAACAGCTGGTCAAGGTACCTCTATATAAAAATAATTTCTTTTGGATGTACTAAATTTAAAATAACCGATTTTAGGGAGGTTTCTGGGAGGAGTTCGAGTCGCTGCAGCAGGACAGTCGGGATACCTTCTCGCGCAACGAGGGCTACAAGCAGGAGAACCGCCTGAAGAACCGCTACCGGAACATATTGCCCTGTGAGTAGAAAACCCTTATTTACTACTACTAAAATCTAAAAAAAATCCGAAGCTCGTATATATTAATATCCTAATATAATAGTACTATTATAATAAATTTTAATATCCTAATATAATATCCTTCTTGATTTTACATATACATTTTAAAATAAAATTTACATTAATCTAGAGTAATATAATAGACCCCCTAAAAAACGGTCAGTAGGAAACTTAACCCACAACGGATTGACATAAAAATCTCAAAAAATCACATAAAATATAAAATAATTGTGTTAAATGAATGAAATTAAAAAAAAATCACTAACTAATTACCCTTTTGCTTCCCAGACGACCACACGCGCGTCAAGCTGCTGGACGTGGAGCCCAGCGTGGTTGGGGCCGAGTACATCAATGCCAACTACATACGCCTGCCCACCGACGGCGATCTGTACAACATGAGCAGCTCGTCGGAGAGCCTCAATAGCTCGGTGCCCTCGTGCCCCGCCTGCACGGCGGCCCAGACGCAACGGAACTGCTCCAACTGCCAGCTGCTGAACAAGACCTGCGTCCAGTGCGCCGTGAAGAGCGCCACGCTGCCGTACAACAACTGTGCCACCTGCAGCCGCAAGTCGGACTCGCTGAGCAAGCACAAGCGCAGCGAGTCCTCGGCCTCCTCCTCGCCCTCCTCCGGCTCCTCGGGCTCCTCGGGATCGTCGGGGGCCAGCGGAGCGGGCAGCGTCAACGGACCCGGCACACCCACCAATCTCACGGGCGGCACAGCCGGCTGTCTGGCCGGACTGCTCAAGAAGCACTCGAGCGACTCGTCCTCCTACGGATCGGGATCCGGATCCGCATCCGGCTTCATGTCGATGGCCGAACGGGAGCGGGAAAGGGAGCGCGAGATGTTCAAGACATACATCGCCACCCAGGGATGCCTGCTGTCGCCGCAGGTGAACACGGTGACGGACTTCTGGAACATGGTGTGGCAGGAGAACACGCGGGTGATTGTCATGACCACCAAGGAGTACGAGCGCGGCAAGGAGAAGTGCGCCCGCTACTGGCCGGACGAGGGACGGACGGAGCAGTTCGGTCCGGCGCGGATACAGTGCGTCTCGGAGAACTCGACGAGTGACTACACGCTGCGCGAGTTCCTCGTCTCGTGGCGGGATCAGCCGGCGCGCCGGATCTTCCACTACCACTTCCAGGTGTGGCCCGATCACGGGGTGCCCGCCGATCCGGGCTGTGTGCTCAACTTCCTGCAGGACGTCAACACGCGACAGAGTCACCTGGCGCAGGCAGGCGAGAAGCCGGTAGGTTTGATACTAGATATTAAACATGAATATGGAATTAATGGATTTAACCTTTAACCTTTAGGGTCCCATCTGTGTGCACTGCTCGGCGGGCATCGGACGCACCGGCACCTTCATAGTGATCGACATGATCCTCGACCAGATCGTGCGCAATGGTGAGCTTAAAGTTATAGTATGTAAATATCCTAGCTAAAACCCTATATGTTTCCCTAAAGGCTTGGATACCGAGATAGACATTCAGCGCACCATCCAGATGGTCCGGTCGCAGCGTTCCGGCCTCGTGCAGACGGAGGCCCAGTACAAGTTCGTCTACTATGCGGTGCAGCACTACATCCAGACCCTGATCGCCCGCAAAAGGGCCGAGGAGCAGAGCCTGCAGGTTGGCCGGGAGTACACCAATATAAAGTGAGTGCCGGAAACTACACAGAACAAAAAAAACTTGGTAAAATTAGACAATACAAACAGTTCCCAACCACAGAAATTGTCTATTCTACAAATTAAATATTTACTTTCAAAACAACAAATACGCACAATTAGCAAAGACACACACCCAAAGCAAAAAAAAATAACACAACTATTTTATAGTTACGTAACTATCCGTTTAGGTAAATTTTACCAATCAAGTTTTACACTACACACAACAAAAAAAAACTTGGTAAAATTAAGCAATATAATTGTCAAACAGTCGCCAATTACAAAAATTGTCAATTCTACCAATTAAATAGTTACTTTTACAACAACAAATACGCACAATTAGCAAAGACACGCACCCAAAGCAACCACGTAACTATTTTATAGGTTAATTTTACCAATCAAATTTTTTTGTGTTTAGAGACTAACTATATTTTCCATCTAATTAACAGGTACACGGGCGAAATTGGCAACGATTCACAAAGATCTCCATTACCACCAGCAATTTCTAGCATAAGTTTAGTACCAAGTAAGACGCCATTGACGCCGCCGTCGGCGGATTCGGGCATGGGGATGAGCATGGGCATGGTCATGGGCGTCGTGGGCAACAAGCATGCCTCCAAGCAGCAGCCGCCGTTGCCGGTGGCTAGCTGCAACAACAACAACAATGGCAGTGGCAGTGGCAATAGCTGCAGCAACGGCAGCAACAGCAGCAGCAACAACGGCAGCAACAGTATGAGCAACGGAGGCGGCAGCAGCAACAGCAGCAACGGCAACATCAATGCCCTGCTGGGCGGAATCGGCTTGAATATGCGCAAGTCGAACTTTTACAGCGACTCGCTGAAGCAGCAGCAGCAACAGCAGCAGCAACAGCAGCAGATGCAACAGCAACAGCAACGCGAGGAGCAGGCGACTGCTCCGGCGGGAGCAGGTAAGATCCAGCAGCAGCCGGCGCCGCCGCTGCGACCGCGTCCCGGCATACTCAAGTTGCTCACCAGTCCCGTCATCTTTCAGCAAAATACAAAAACATTCCCAAAGACATGATCGGCCTGCGAACGCCGAGCCATGCGCCTGCGTTGCCGCCGCCGCCGACGCCGCCGCGCAAAACATGACAAATGAATTTCTAAGTCGCGACGCCCTTGACACGCCCCCATGATACCATGATACCATGATACCATGATAGCCCCCCACACGCACACAGACCACAAGTGGATTTCATTTAAAGAGTCACCCTGCCGCCGCAAAAAAACCCAAACCCAAAACCCGAAACCCTTGACTATGTTTTACTGTTGTACCAAGTTCTACTTTTTTTTTTTTCTATTAATTGTAATCTATATACTTTTTTGTAATATTGTGTGTAATGCTTAGTTGTACGTTATTGTCTCGCTTTATGCTGTAAGTGTTCCCTGCACACGCAAAGCAGTAACCCCACCACCAGCCTAAACCCAAAACCCAAAACCCCAGGCATATTTATGTAGTAGTTTTTTAAGAGAGCCCCCCTGCCCCAAAAAACCGGAAATTGAAGATACAATCTGGGCGGAACTGCAGCAGATCCGCCAAAAAAAAACAAAAAACAAAAGAAACCCATTTTTAAGAAGAATCGCAGCGGTTCGCCGTTCCCAGTTCCATAGCGCTTGAATTTGGCGGAATTTTTGAAAATTATTCGCCATAGAGTTGAACTGTGTCCTATGCCAAAATTTCCCTATTTCGAATTTTACGGATTCAAATGAGTAGTATTTCTTTTTTGAGCATCAATGGTTTCAAGCCAGAATTTCAATTTTTTTTTTCGATATTTTTACATTTTTCAAAAACTCTTTATTGAAAAGTTCGATTTCCAAAAGAAAGTGAATTCCAACTCCGTCAAATCAAATCAAGTTTTTAGTGTTGTAAGTGTTGACAAAATCGGAAGAGGAGGAGTTAGAGGTAACGATAATGATACAAAAAAAAAAGCGTTGATTGTGATTCGAGTGACAGCGAGAACAGAAACAGAAACAGATACAAAAAGAGTTACAGAAGCAGGTGAGAACAGAGGCGATCGAGATCAGAATAGGACAGCAGAGACGCCAACCGAACAGAACAGATAGCAGATGAGAACAGAACAGATGAGATGAGAACAGATTAGAGGTAAAATGAAAAAGCTAAGAAGCGCTTAAGCGTGTCGTCCCTAGAATAAGAAAACTAAGATTACAGCTCGACAGATCCAGATCGAGATCTTTATCTCTAGCAGCCAATCTCTGATTTCCCCTCCCTCGTTTTTCCCCCTTTTAGTGATTTAGTGACTGTATGTGTATGCTCCTAATTGTATATTGATGATTATTTATAAAGTTTGCCCATTGTGTTACATTTTAAATGATCAAAAAATTGTATTTAGAAATTTATGACTTTAGAAATTTACAACTTTAGAAATTATACATTAATTGTGTGTCTGTGTCTCTCTATTCCCTTCTCCACTCTCTCTACCCCCGTCTCCCCATCTCTCTCTGTCTCTCTCCAACTCTCTCTGTGTATGCACGAGTGTTTTCTTTGACTAAGTTTATTATTTCGAACGCTGAAGCGGAATCAAACTATATATGCAATATTTAAGCACAGTACCTTGGGCGCTGCAAAAACAAAACAATACAAAAATAAAAACAAATATAACCCGATCAGCTAAATCAAAAATATACAATATACAGGAAGGAATAACTCAATATCAGCAGCAGCAAACGAAAAACCATTTAGATTATTGTGCAAATCTAAGTAATATATTTAAAATATATCTTTATTTTATCTTATTTTACCTTATGCTTTTGTAAGTGCTTTAAATTGTTATTCATCTTGATCTTGCAAAAAAAAAAAAAACAAAACAAATCTGAAAAACGAATACATACTAAAAAAAAACCACACAAATTATATTTGTATTTATACATAAAAAATAAACATTTTATATGCGATACACGAAATGAAGCACCTTATATTTTATTTTATTTTACATGCATGTTTGTTGAACGCTTTGCTTTTTTGGTGCCCAACTTGCGTTACATCACAAACGAATCCTCAACGAACTGAAACAATAACCCCAAACACTTAGGAACTTAGCCTTATATCGAAATGCCTCGACCAAGACGGAAAACTGAATCACAGAATGGATCAAGAGAAAAGAGGGAGGAGTCGCCCCAACCTTTCCGTCTCCCAGTTAGAACAATAAGTACTCATGTGTTTACCCCCCCAACCAACCAACCGAACCCATGACCTTCCACCCACCATAATACCATCCGATCCGAACACTAGAGCGGGTGAAAGACCCCGATTGGAGCATGACGACGAACGTGAGCGTAAGTGCGTGATCTAGTACTTTATATAGTTAGTCTATAATACGATAATACGATAATTCAAATGGAATATGTCGAAGCCTGGCTTCGACCACTGGGCGGCGACCTAGTGGCCCCCAAAAACGAAGGTGAACCCGTGTATGTAAGTCCCGCTGGGGATGCGATTTGTTTTGATCTTGAAACGCGGGGCACGCAAAGCCCCGCTATTCTCGTGTTGAATTTTCTATAGCATATAGACAGAGCAGAGGTGGAAATCGGATACGGATACTTGGACATATGGACATATGGAGCCGGAGAACGTGCAGCCAGCGGAGGGAGGGAAGAATGCCAAAGCACAAAAAGCCACACGCAACAAAACACCAATAGGCCTCATCGAAGACATCAGACCACAAAACATTAAATATAAAAACAACGATGTTAAGATCAATAAGAATGAACTGAAATCAAAAAACGACGTGACTACTGACGAGGGATTAAAGGAGAACCAAACACCAAATAAAAGTAAAACAAAAACAAAAAACCAAGAGCAAGGAAACGCTTTAAACTTAATTAATTCTAAAATTGTATCTAGGCGATATCGAAATGTAAACCATACACCAACTATCCATAGTAGAAAGCAAACACCAAAAAAACAATTGCTTAAGTGACTTACTTTAGATAACGATACGATAACGATATACTCGAAACCCTTAAGAAACCTCGGACCTCAACCGATTTCCTATTGCCCAGAACTCAGAACCCAGAACCCCAGATCCCAAATCCCAAAACCCAGATCCGAATCAAGTACGTCTATAAGCTAACCACACGATGCTAGTGCACAAATGCAACCTCACCCCGTGTTCATAATATCCGATGAGAAGTTGTTCGATTTTTAGCGAAACCTCGGTGCGGTTTCGATGTTGCAAGAATAAATACCAAATAGAGACGACGTTTTCTTTGTTCAAATGTTGCCAATTTGCATAATACAAGTGTTATAGTGCCATATACCATATGGAGTATAAATAATATATATATTTAGAGACGAATTACAGCGCAGTACTCTGTGACTTCTTTTCCATTAATCCCATGAAAAACGAAAGCGAAATCGAAAACGATAGCGAAAGCGAAAAAGCAAATATATATCTATATACAAGAAGCGACTAAAACGTAGTTCTCTTTGCATACGAAATAATACGGAATAATCGACCTACAAGCATAAGATATATATGTGTAGAATACTGCGAATATTGTTGAACGATGACGATTTAATTGGAACTATAGGTAACAATCCAGAACAAATGGTAAACAAGCCCACGACGAAACGCGAGAAACGCAATAAACAACGTTTTCTTAGATCTAGATCGTAAGATTAACAAATTAACAAATTAACGAATTAACGAAACGCAACAAAACGATCGCGAAAATCAAGACAAAAGTCAACACCAAATAAATTATAGACAAACCAAATCGTTGTAATGTTGAAGAAATTCTATAGGTACATATGTAAATCATTCTGCGAGTACGCTAAACAAACGTAACAAATTAAACACAGCCACGAAATATTATTATGAAATTAAATTGAAACCTTAAGAGGCATAGCTGTTCGAAACATTATACCGAAAATACCGATATTGAAGATATATTCAACATTTTTATGTGTCTGCATATTTGAAAGAAAAAGATATATTATTGAATAAACCATATTACAAAATAATCTTTCAAAAATTGAACTAGTTTTTATTACTATTTTACTTACAGATGGCTTTCGGAAGATCTATATTTGGTGGGAAAATGAAAAGTGATAAATAATGAAGACTAATGAGCAAACTAAAAAGTTGTGAAATTTCCCTTCCAATAAAACTCGATCGCGATTTCATATATTCACGTTCATTAAGCACTATACAGTGACAGATTTTATTTTGTTCAGCAATAGGAAAAAAAATGGTTTTGTAAAAAAAAAAAATATACAACCACGGAACTTTCAAAATAATTATGTTTATCCTTATAATATTCTCATATGCTCGTAAATGTATGTATACCCTAGGGTAAATTCAGTCCAACTTCCATGACTCGAACCTTCCTAACTTAATTTGTTCACAGTTTAAGGTTTTATATTCTTTTCCTTACATCTCGCTGGCGTTCTCCGCACTGATAAATACAAAATATAATAATATAGCTGTTAGCTTTACAAGTTTTTCCAAAAAAATAAAAAATTTACTTGGACAATTATTTCGAGCAATGGAGGTTCGACTGCATTTTTCGGGAGCCTTACATTGACGTCATGCCCTTAATTAATCAATAAATTAAACGTTTAGTGTTGTATTCAATTCAGTTTCACTTAGGAATTACTTCAGGCTTAAGTTTTAATTCTAACTATGCAAGTGTAAATAGATTCCCAGCTTACGTCTAGTTTAAGTGATTTTTTCATGCTCTTCCCATAGGGCGTTGTGTAATGATTAACAACGTTTAAATAAATACGTCAGCGCTTAGGAGTAGTGGTGAAGTTCTATACAAGTTGATGAATTGATGACTGGGACAACAGTCTATGCTTTATCATACATGTGGCGGCCTGTCATTTGAGCTACGCGAACACCCATCTTCTAGTTAGGTTTAGGTTTAGATTACGTACAAAAAAAGTTCTACAGCTCGCCGCAAGTGAATCAGATTCAACTGGCGGGCGGCGTCGAAGGACCCGGTTGGACCCGGTCCAGAGCTATGGCTCCTCCTCCAGCCGAAGGTCGTGGCAGAGGCGCGTGGTCAGGTCGTAGCACAGGTGACTGCCCCCGCTGCTGTCCTCGGACTCTGGCGGAGTGCTGGCAGGAGCGGTCGGAGTTGGAGTCGGAGATGGAGCGGTTTGCCTGCCCACCGGCGAATAAGGTGGCGGAGTTATGGAATACGAGGGCGAAGGCATCATCTCACCTGGCTCATCCCGCTGACACTATTGCGCTCCACCGGCCGCCGCATCCTTCGCATCGCCCGGCGGCGGAACCTCCTTCATGGACTCCACCTTGGCCACAATCTTGAGGGCTGGGCCCAGCTTCATGCCCATGGCGTGCACCAGATGGTTCTCCTTGAGCAGCAGCAGCGCCTGGCCGTCGATCTCCTGCTGAACAAAGTCGTCCACATAGTCCTGACACCCGGGCAGTTCTCGGATAAAGTTGCTGACCTCCTCCACACTCCAGCTGCTAATGGGCGGGCGATCCGATCCATTCACATTGCTGGATGACAGCGCGGCGGCCACGGGAGTGACCACTCCGGCAGGGACGACTGGCGGCAATGGCACAGAAGGAAGTATTGCAACTGGCAACGGCAATGCCAGAGGCATCGAAAGTGGGGAGGATGCCGGAATAGCCGTTAGCACCGGCATTGTGTTCGGTGTTGGAACCTCCGTGGGAGCCGCCTGAATGGGCTGAATTTCGGACATTGCCTGCAGGGCCTCCGTCTGCATCTTCTCCACAGCCATAGCCTCGTCCAGTTTGTCCACCAATGCCATGGCGTCCACTCCAACGATTCCGCCGCTTCCCAGGCCGTTGGTCTCTCCTGTTCCGACTCCCCCGATGCCGTTCTTCGCCTGTCTGGCGCATCCCGGCGAGCAGTAGCGCTTTCGCTTGAGCTTCGTCTTGTGCTCCAGCTTGCCACACTGCTCGCAGGCCACCATGTCCGAGGCTGGAGCAGATGCTATTCCACTTGGCTTTATGTCCTCCTGCATGGCTGCCTTTTTCTCTGCAGAGCGAAGGGTTGAGGTGAGATTGGAATTGGGATTATGTGGTTTGTACTCACTTGGCGGCTCATCGCTGACGTCCTTGTCTGCATACCGCTGCCTGGTGACCGGAAACGGTTCATTAGCCTCCTGGATGATGAAGCCATCGATGACGTGGGTTAAAACATTCGGCTTTATCATTGCCTTCGGCAGATCCTTGGCTCCATTGCTGTTGCTCGTCGTGGTAGTTGTTGTGATGCTCGTGCAACTTGTGGTTGAAGTGCTGCAAGTAGTGGTAGTTGTGCTAGCGGTCGTGCTCCCAGTGGTGCCTGCGGTCGATCTGGCTATCCCAATCCCATTGCTGATCGTCGTCGTCGTTGGCGTTGAAGTTGCGGACGTTGAACTGACTGAGGTCGCCACCTTGGGCTCTTCCTTTCCACTGGCACTGGTGGGAGTGGAGCAGCTGCTCGTTGGCTGCACCGCATTGCTCTGTTTACTGGTGGGAGTCGTGGCGGCCTTTGAAGGCGTGGAGGCCCTATCCGTGGCTTCCCCGTTGGGCAGAGCCTCACTCGTGGAACTACTGGCCTCCACGGACGCACTGACATTGGCGGGAGTGGAGGACTTGGGTGTGCTGCAGCTGTCCTGGCCCGAAACAGGCGTCATGGGTGAATCAATGGGCACCAGGGTGGCGGTGGGCACTCGCGAAGGTGTCTCCTTGGAGGGCGTGCTGGGAAAACTTCCTCCTCCGCTGCTGGCACTGCTCAGCGTGACCAGCTGACCCGGCGACGGAGTGACAGCGGTGCTGGTCACAGAAACAGTCACGGGCGGAGCGGTAGACAGGTGGCCCACCGTGGCATTCATCATCGAGGTCATGGCCAGAATGGGATTGGTGGTGGGTGAGGGCGTGGTGGGCGTCAGTGAAGGTGGTCCCTGTTGCTGCTGTTGTTGAGATGCTGCTGCAATGGTGGCGCTGATCAGCTGCTGCTGCTGCTGGTGGATCTGAGCAGCTTGAGCCTGTGCCTGCATGCTGGCCACCGTGCTGCTGGTGACCAGGGGAGTGCTGCTCTGGTTGGTGATGGTGACCACACTGCTGGTGGGCAGGGAGGAGGAGCTGCACGTGACGGGCTTGGCTGTTTGGAAGATGGCGCCCGAGGCGGAGAGAGCTGCCTGCAGGGCACTGGAGGTGGCTATTCCGGCTGGCGTCGTCGTCGAGGAAACCGAGAAGGGCACGCTGCTCAGCTGCAGCTGTCCAGATTGCTGTTGTGCCTGCTGCTGCTGCTGCTGGGCGCTGGCTCCGCCCGACTGCTGCACCACAATCTGCTGGATGATGTTCTGCTGCTGCTGCTGCTGCTGCTCCCGCTGCTGTTGCTGCTGCTGCGCCTGGGCCTGCACCTGGGCTTGAACCTGTGCCTGCGCCTGCGCCTGTTGCTGCAGCTGCTGCTGGATCAGTTGGTTGTGGAGCTGCTGCTGCTGCTGCTGCTGGTGGGAGGTGATGAACTGGTTGGGCGCCACCTGGAGGATCTGCTGAGTGGCGTTGGCGAGTGCCTGCTGCTGCTGCGCCTGAGCCTGGGCGACCTGCTGTTGCTGCTCCCTCTGCTGCTGCTGGGCCTGCGCCACCGCCTGCTGCTGCTGCGCCACCGCTTGCTGTTGCTGGGCGTTCACCTGCTGCTGCTGGGAGACTTGTTGCTGCTGCTGTTGCTGCTGCGCCTGCACTGCCGCCTGCTGCTGCATCTGGATGGCGGCGATCTGCTGCTGGAACATCTGCTGCTGCAGGAACTGCTGCTTCTGGATTAGCTGCAGCTGCTGTTGCTGCTTGTCCACTCCCGTGGTGGCCGAGTGAAGCGTCTGGCCATTCTGGAGGGTGATGGGAGTGCCCGTCGTGCTCATCACCACCATTCTGTAAGAATTCGGGATAGTTAGTAAGGTGCATTGACAACCAAACAGTGTTAACTCACTTGTTGCCCGCCGCATTGACCACCTGCTGGAGATTCGTCGCCTGCTGCTGCTGCTGCACGGTGGTCAGGTGACCCACCACCTTGTTCTGGCCCCCGACCTGACCATTCTCCGTCTTCAGGGTGGGCAGTGCGGGTCGCACCGGCTGCTGCTTGTTGCGCATCTTCGCCTTCAGCAGACTCTGGTTCTGGGCCGTCTGTGTGGACACGGAGCTGGCCGGACGCACTTGGGTTCCATTGTGGGGCATGATCGGGGCCCCCGGTCGCTGCAGAGCTGCTGCCGTGAGTTGTTGCTGCTGCTGCTGCAGCTGGGCAGTGGCCACAGCCAGCTGTTGCTGCTGTGTCTGGTTGGCGGTGCCTCCCTGCTGCTGCTGCTGCTTAGGAGCCAGTGCGTCGAGCTGGGTGCGTGCCTTGGTGGGGGTCTGGGTCACATTGCACTGGATGATCTCTGTGGGGAGATAGATTGACTTGGTAACTGATTTACAATACTATATAATAATATTCTTACGGTTCTGCTGCGTCTGCAGGGTCTGGGTCGTCGGCTGCTGCTGGATAAACATGCCCTGGGTTCCGTCCGGCTGGTTTCGCAGGATGATCTGGTTGGAGCCGAAGGGCTGCAGTCCTGCCGCATTCTGCCAGAACCAGGGGATCTGCATCTGCTGCGCCTGGCCGGCGTTGAGGAGCTGGGCAGTCTGGACAGACTGAACAGACTGGGCGCCCACTCCGACTGGCAACGTCGACTGCGAGACCTGGACGCACTGCTGGGTGGTTTGGGTGGTCTGCTGCTGCTGCTGTTGGACCTGCTGCACTTGCTGGGCCTGGGTCGTCCCAGCGGATCCTGGTCCCGTCGCCGCCTGAACCGTGCTGCTGGTGGTGGTCACCTTCTGGACCACCTTCTGGGCCAGCTTGCCCTGCGCATCCACCCCCACCTTGGCCAGGGCAGCCGTCAGCTGTTGCTGCTGCTGTTGTTGCTGCTGGGTGAGCTGCTGCTGCTGTTGCTGCTGGGTGAGCTGTTGCTGCTGTTGCTGCTGCGTGAGTTGCTGCTGCTGCGCTGCGGCGGCCATGGACTGCAGCAGGTTCTGCTGCTGCTGCGGCGAGTGGGAGATGACGTTCACCGGCGAGATGAGCAGCGTCTGGGGCGACTGGTTGTGGTTCGAGGGAATGCAGGTGGTGTAGTTGCCGCCGGCGAATCCCGCCTGGCCACCGATCATCTGCTTGGCGTTCTGCGTCGTGGTGGTGAGCATCTGGGGGCCGTTGCCCTGGAACGGCTTGCCGGCGGTGATCACCTGAATGGGCTGCTGGCCGAGGCCGCCGGGGTGCAGCAGATTGCCGGACACAATCATCTGCGGGTACAGGAAGCTGGTGGAGGGCTGCATCAGCTGCACTGTCCTGCCCTGCGACCAATCCCCGCCCACGCCACCGGTGGCAGCTGCCAACTGCATTGGGGACATGGTGCTAATGGCGGTGGACTGTTGGGAATTGGCCGGACTAGGTGCTCCTCCCGCTGCTCCTGCATTCCCCGCGGCTCCTCCGCCCGCTCCTCCGCCCCCACTGGCATCCGAGAGCTGCTGCTGGAGCTGCATCTGCTGCTGGACATCCAGGATGTTGGCCGCATGCTTCAGCTCGGTTCCCCCTCCGCCAGTCGTGTGCGTGGGAAACTCCTGCTTCACCTGGATGGCATAGGGATTGCTCGCGTAGAACTGCTGCAGCTGCTCGGGCGATATCTGGAGCGGCACGGTGGTGGCGGCCGCCACCTGTTGGGCGGGACTCTGTGACTTCTCCAGCTTATGGCCGCGCGTCTTCGAGTTGGGCGTACTTGGTGAGCTGCTCCGGCTGCTCCTGCTGCTGCTGGTGAGTGGCAATAGTGGGTGGCGCCGCCTGATGGTGGGCGTTCCGGCTGCTCCGCGGGTCGTCCTGGTGCTGGGCGATGATTGGGATGTCTGGGATGATGGACTCTTGGCCAAGTCCTCGTCGAAGTTGATGCCCGCCTTCTGGGCAAGTGTTTCCAGGCACCTGAGTGGTCGCTGGGGATCCTCGCGAGCGTTGAGTGCGCCTTTCACGGGTGCAGATGTGGATGTGGATGTGGTGAGCGGTGCAGGTGCAGGTGACGATGGAGGTGTTGCTTCACTTTCGGTGACCGCACTGCTGGAAAAAGAAAACGAAGACGATCAGTAAACATCGCGTATAAACACAAACAAACACAGACACACTTGGGGCGGCTCCGAATGCGTGGGGCATGCTTCATATTCATATTCTTTTTTATCGCACATCAACAAACTGTGACTACGAGTCACTCTCTCTTGCTATCTCTCTCCCAGCTGAGTGGGGATCGAATTGGATGAGTGGGGAGAGCAGGAGAGAGGGATTAGCATTGCAATCGCACTCTCACTAGCGCTCCAAAGAGGAACGGAACGAGTCGAGAAGGAGGCGGTGCGAAAGGGACGCACGATCATTGAGAAAGACAAAGACGGGATCGTGTAATAATGCACTCGAGGTCCCAAAACGGCAAAGAAAACGAAAACAAAGTCGAGACGAAAAAGTGAGACGGAGCGAGATACACTTTGTTTTGGGTGATTATTCACACACTAGGTGAATTCAGTTACAGTGGAGATCGTTTAAGTGAAACTAGGAATATTAAAAAAAAATAACTTTTTAATGGTTTTAAAGAAGATTTCTTTTTAAGTCTAATAAATTATGTGTCAAAAAAAAAAAATATTTTGGGTCTCTAAAGCATTTACATTGTAAGTTAATTATTTGTGTTTTTTAATTGAATTGCCAAAAAAGATGGTCATTAGGGGCATCCGGTCAAAAGTATCGCTTAAATTTATAATGTTCCATGACCCACTAAAAGTGCACTGTTTTGCATACATATATGTACACATGTATGCAATGAATGCAATACAGTGCTTAAAAGAGGTCACTTGTCAGAGTTGCCTGTGCCCACAACTTCTATTTTTAGTAGCCTTGCTTTCCTGCTCTCTGCTGCCTATCCTGTCGTCCTCCTCTGTCTGTCCTCCGCCTCGCCGTCCTCCTCCTTATCCTCATCCTCCCCCGCAGAGAGGAGAGTGGAGTGGAGTGGGAGCGAGCGAGACGACCTTTATTTATGGTTTGCTCTTTGCCGATGGCCAAAGCGCATAGAACACCATCGCGATAGTGGTGGCATGGGGTATCCAAGGGGGCAGGTTCAAAGACCTGCGTTGCGAGCCCGAAATCCCGACAGTTGTCCAGGAGTAACAAATGGTTGCGGTTTTAGATGAGCCAGGGTCCCTTTTCATGGTAATAAGACCAGGAGTTACCCTTGGAAGAAAAAAAAAGCCTTGGGGGTGGTTTTCGATTTTCGAGAGAAGAACGAATTCGGTTTCGAAATCGAACTCGGAAAGGAAATCCAAATCGAACTAGACGAAGCAGCATCTTCAACTTGCAACCGAAAGACTGGTTTCTCTCCACTGTGCGAGGGTGCATGTGTGTGTGTGTTTGGTGTGTGTGCGGCAGACGGCTTACAACAATTCCAAAGCCATCATCATTTGATTTTCCCTTCAACCCAAAATTGAGTTGCAAGAAGCAGCGTGCGGCAGAAACACAGAAAAAAAAGAGGAAGAGGAGGAGGAAGCGAAGAGGAAGAGGGAGAGGGAGGACTGACAACAATGCGGGGCAAACAACAAGCAAAGAGCATGCGCCGACGACGGCGTCTCAGTCTCGAAAAAAATATGTTTTCTCCTCCATTCAGCTTTTATCGTTTTCGTTTTTAATTTCATAGGTGTACCGGGTATTTGTGTATATTTAAAGGGCACCTGTGCACGCGATCTTACATAAAAAAGGCCCAAAGTCGACAACTCTAGACGCCGCACAGCATTAATTGTGTGTTTGCTTCTTTTTGTTTTTCGGTGTTTCTGGTTTCTTGCGTTGTTTTTGTTCCAGGCGACGACACTATCCACTATCCGATACACTTTCGTCGCCAGCGTCGCGACGTCCGTAAATATTTCCGTTTCTCCTCATTTTCATTGAGTATTGCGGTATTGCGGTATCGCGGTGTTGCATTCACTAATATCACTTAATCGTCAATCGTCACCACAGATGTGCAGTTGTCGCCAAAAGCGAAAAAAAATAAATAAATACGACGGGCAGTGGCAGAGTGTGTGTGCGTCGCGTCGGCGCGAGACTTTTTTTCTCCGTTCAATACATATACATATACAGATGCACATGCACAACGACACCAACACGAACGCGGAGCAGAGCGCAAGAACCGCACGCCGCCAAGTTTAGTTTCGAAATGAACCGCGCGCCCCAGCGACAACTCTACGCTCGCTCTCTGTTCGCTTGTCGGTCGGGAAACAAAATGAAGTGCGCATGTGTGTGTCCCTGCGCTGGTGTGCGACTGCGGGAAGGGGCAGCTGGAACTAATAACTTTTCTCTATACCGAAATGCGCGGGTGCGAGTGCGACGGCACTAGGGGCGGCCCGGGCCGGAGAGCGCGTGGGAGCGGGACGCCCTCTGACCGCTTGGGGTTGGAAAGGAACGGCAGCAGTTCAGTTGGCACAGCAAAACGAGTAAAAAATCCGGAATCGAGGCTACAGCTGGCGCATCTGTATCTGTGTGTGTTCAACCACCCCGACTGCGGGCCCCCTCCCTTCCGAATCCACTGCTGAAAAGATACCCGCGACCGAATCCAGTTTTCTGTGTCTGTACACTTGAATGTCTACCGACTCGAGTCCGATTGTTGCTATACTTCATCTTCTTTTTTTCGCTCCATCACAACCACCGCTACCTACTCTGCCTCTGCCTCCACCTCATGTCTCCCTCCCTCTGGGCTGATTCCGTTTCGCATCGGATCGGTCGGCTTTACTTTATTATTAGTTGTGCTTGTCGGAAACAGACGGTGGAAGAGAAGGAGGAGGGGGTAGCGTATGCGCAGAGGCCGAGGCAAATGCTTTTTTCACTCACTCTGCCGAACAGTGGCGTGCGATCCATTATTATGGGATTGCATTCAGTTTGGCTCTGATGTTTTTGTCGCATGAGCACAGTGGTTCTATTTCCATTGCGACTGTGGCACTTTACCCAAAATTATATTACTTATATTAATTAATAACATTTACCATTAAAAAAATTAAACATCGTCTTTAAAATATTACCTATTTTTATATTTTGTATTGTTTTTATTATATTTATTTCCACCACTCTTGTCCCACTGTGCCTGTCTCTGGCATTTCATTTTTCATTTTGTGCTGCCTGCGTGTGTGTGTATTTTTGTATGGGTGCGTTGCTTTGGCTCTTGTCGGTCTTCTTCTTCTCCTCCCTTCCCTTCCCCTTCCAACCCCCTCCAACAACAACGTTGCTGAGCCCCACAAATGCTCATCATTCCGATCGCTATTGTTGTTGTTGGGTTCGACAGAATCAGAATTTCGTCTCATTTCTTTTGCTTTTTGCTGCCGCCATATTATTTTTATGCCCGTTAAGTGCTTTTGCTCTCTCGCTCTCTGCTTGGCTTTTTGTTTGCTTCTGGTGCATGTGTGTGTTTGTGGGTTCAGCTTGGTATTGGGGCTTCGGTTTTTTTCGCCGAGCTTTTTTCTTATTAGTTGCGGCCTCCTCCTTCGCCGTTGCTTCCCTCTTTCGCCTCTTCTTCGCACGCTCAACTGTACAAGAAGTCGAGCATGCGCTCTTCTTCTTGCCATTCAATTAATTGCCTCCAACTTATTGGGTTGTTGTTGTTGGGGTGAATGGTGAGGGGGCTGTAAGGAAGAGTGAGAGAGCGCTATTATTTGCATTCGGTAAAAATGACAAATGCTTAATGAGCGTAAATTGCTTTGCGCGTGCTTTCCTCACACTCGCACACTGCCTCTCGCTCTGGCGCATTGGGTCTAGCATGCGGCCCTCTCCCTCGCTCGCTGTAATAGAAACGGACACGCACACGTATATATGTATGTGTGTACCTGTTGTTCTTGTACTGTTGTTGGCCTGAATTTCCTACACCATTTTTGAAAAGACGAAACCTTGAATTAATCAGCATCTGCATACACACATACATACTGAGTGATAACCAAAGTTACCCGTTTTGTTGCTGCAATCGTAAGGAAGTCGACGTCAGCGTCGGCAGCGGCAGAGGTTTTATTGTCACAAGGCGTGGCTAACGGTGAAAATGGATCAGTTCCAGGATCACCAACACATTCAAGGGTGCACAATCCTACCCCAAAAGTACAGTAAAAATTGCCTAATAGAACTCGAAAAAAACCCAAAATAATTTGTTTTCATTATTTAGTTACTTTAATATACCCTTAAATTTATTATAACTCTTTCTAATTACTAAAATAAAATAAACATATTATTTGATTTTTTCACAAATAAATTTCCAATTGCACTGAAACTAAATCACCCCTTTCATGTTATTACCTTCTCCTCGATCCCCTTCCGCTGCACATAGTTGACCTGTGACCTCTTGTGTAGTGCACACAGGAAGTACTCGAGTCAGCACTTCGCTTAAGTTGGATAAACTGCGGGGATGAAATGGTTTTGGGGCCATTTGGGCCAAATTTTAGAGCTGGCCATAGTCTGCGAATTTCATATCAAAAAGCGAAAATCTTAAATTTCCACAATGCATGGTTTGCATAAGATTTCACCCGATTTAGGGGAGGACTAGGGGTTTTAAGGAATATTAATATTATTTCGTTGTTTCTTGCCTTAATGACTATTTTTTCTGGTCCCCCAGGGAAACGGAATAAACTGTACCCGGTTCACTGGCACTGCGAAGTAAAGGGTAAGGATAAAGGGTATGGGTAGTGTCCTGGCAAAAATCAAACAGGAATGCGGAAAAGGGTTGACCTCTGACACTTGCAGACTCCAGCTACCTCAATGCACCCTTAGCCACCATTTTAGGCACCGCAGGGAAAACGATTTCCAAGCAAAGCAGTTACAATTACCCTCAAAAGCGAATCTTTTCAGGACTATGAACGGGATGGTTAGCGAAATCAACCCCTAAGCTTATTATTAGGGGTGAGAAGCTAAGGTCGCAGAAGGGTAAATCAGGGAAATCACAAAGAACAGGAATGGTGATGAGGGGAGGTGCATTGTATTTGTTTATGTGAAACTAGGGATCGCGAATTATTTTCAATACTTCCCCATTTGCGAAATCCTTTTCTTAGTTAATCCCGATTTGTAATTAAGCACCTCAAAATACATGGATTCTGAAATTTGAGACGAGTTCAAAGTTCAGAGCTTTAAAAAAATACATCCCAATTATATGATAATCTCCCTTCAAACTTTTTTTTTTAACGCGTTTAGTTTGTGGACCTATTTTTATGCCAGTTACTATTTAGTTTCCGATGACTTACAGAAAGGTAAACCGAAAGAGTCATTCTAAGGTCCGTTTTCTCGTCAGCATGTTAAACTTAAAGTACGCTATAAACTCTAAATTCTCATACGTTTTCAAGGTTTTTTCCACGCGGATCCACGGAGAATAAACAGGAATAAATCAACCCCACTCTGGTGAAAAATGAATGGAAATTGGGCATAAAAAGTATGCAACAAATAATTTGTTCTGAAATCCCCCCAAAACCAAATCCCTACTTTAAATTTAACATGCGGACAAGAAAACGGTCCTTTAGCTGAAAACCAGAACAGACATATCCAGAGGCGTAGAATTGGTTAATGAAACAAATACGGCAAAGAAATGTACTCGCTTGATCCCCAATTTATGTTGTAAAAAATAATAAAGACATAACCAGAAACTAATAGAATTGTTGTATCTTCGTATTATTCTTATTTGATGGTCTTAAGTGCTTTTAAATCAGCCTTACTCGTTTTGTCATACACAAAGAAAATTAGAAAAATTTAAGGTTTAAAAACAGGTGTGAAACATTTTAGAAAGTAAAACGCTTTATACAAATTTTGTTTTAATTATGATCTTTGGAACCTATATTCTTCGAAAAGTATGTAACAGGCAAAAGAATGCGATTTCGACGATAAAGAATAAATATTCTTGATCAGGATCACTAGCCGAGTCGATCTAGACATGTCCAGCTGTCCGTCTGTTTGTCCGTATGAACGCTGAGATTCTCGGCCACTATAATTTTGGTTGGAAAAGATTTCTGTGGCACCCCCGATTGATATTTTAGACACATTTTGTTTTAATGAACAATGTGGGACATTCAATATTATTTTTCATGCGCCTATTTTTGGGTTGAATTCCTAACTGTTGCAGTATAACAGATTTTACGGAACGAAAGTCTTTTATTTTGAGTTTATGTATGTACATTTTAACTTGGACGTTGCAATACAATTCCAAGATTTCAATTTTAAATTATTTAAACAAATTACTTTTATTACAAATAAGTTCTGAGGACTTGTAAATACCACAACATTTTGTGTAGAAATGTCCTCATTATTTTTCACAAGCTTAGCTTATGCTATTACGCAGTGATAAAAATCTAAAAAGAAACAATTTTTGAGTCTCAATAAATTTTTAATATTGTTGTTTATATGGTAACGTTCTCCATTTTGATTTGCAAGCAACCACGTCAGCAACAACAAAAAAAAAACAAGAATAATTCATAGGTAAACCCACTGATCTGAACCCGAAGTCGCCGCTCTACCTCTGCAGGCGTCGCTGCTTAATTGCGCACAAAAACAAAATGCCGTCGGGAAGGTGGATGTGAAAAAATGGGCACGATTCTTGTTTTTAGCAGTGAGGGGTGTGGTTAAGGGAGGGAAATGAATAGCTCTGCAGTTCCGGGCAAGACAAGGATAACAATATAGCACTTTCTACCTCTCTCTTTCTGCGACATCGCACTACCTTAGTGGGCGCGGCATAGCCATGTGGTGAATTTGTAGTATAACAGTTTTTATTTTTCAATTTATTATTCTTAAATATGAATATTTGGTAAATTTCAAAATTTTAAATAATTAAAATTTCAATTTGAACCCCACAATTGAGAATTAATATCTTAGACTCTGGAGCATAGCGATCCTTTTAATGTTCAAAGGCCCGTTTTCGCATGCTTTCGCACAATATATGTAGAATATTTTGGTGCCAAATTGGGATTAGGGATTGCGGCGAAAATAGGAGTATTTTCTAGGTTGTATATATTATTTTCGACAAATTACAAACTTTTCTAAAAAATAACTCAGTTTTTTTTCCGAAACAAAGGAAATAATAGCCCAAATTTGGAATATCATACCTTGTTGAACTCGTAGCTTAATTCTCAATTGATTTGCGTTCAAGTCTTGACATTTTATTTTTTTGCCATTTTTAGCAATAAATCATGATGGTACCCCTTATATAAAACGCGAAAATTGGCCAAAATTGTATTTTTCCCAAATCCACCAAAAATGCCCATGGATTTAAAATTTAAGTTGCTAGCTGTTCAAAACAGTGCGTATTTTTGATCTGGGATCATTTTTGGCCAAATTACAGCAAAAGAACACAACAAAAAAATGCATATTTTTACTAAAAATCTAGGACCCGATTTTTACCCAAAAATAATCAGTTTTTTGGCCAAAAGAAAAGAAATAATAGCCCAAATTTGGAATGTCATACCTTGTTGAACTCGTAGCTTAATTCTCAATCGATTTTCGTTCAAATCTGGACATTTTATTTTTTTGCCATTTTTAGCAAAAAATTATGATGGTACCCCTTATCTAAAACGCGAAAATTGGCCAAAATTTTATTTTTCCCAAATCCACCAAAAATGCCCATGGATTTAAAATTTAAGTTGCTAGCTGTTCAAAACAGTGCGTATTTTTGATCTGGGATCATTTTTGGCCAAATTACAGCAAAAGAACACAACAAAAAAATGCATATTTTTACTAAAAATCTAGGACCCGTTTTTTACCCAAAAATAATCAGTTTTTTGGCCAAAAGAAAGGAAATAATAGCCCAAATTTGGAATGTCATACCTTGTTGAACTCGTAGCTTAATTCTCAATCGATTTTATTTTATTTTATTTTTTTGCCATTTTTAGCAAAAAATTATGATGGTACCCCTTATCAAAAACGCGAAAATTGACAAAAATTTTATTTTTCTCAAATTCACAAAAAATTCCCATGGATTTAATAATTAAGTTGTTAGCTGTTCAAAACAGTGCGTATTTTTGATCTGGGACCATTTTTGGCCAAATTACAGCAAAAGAACACATTAAAAAAATTTATATTTTTACTAAAAATCCAGGACCCGATTTTCCACCAAAAAATAATGAGTTTTTTGGCCAAAACAAATGAAAGAATGGCCCAAATTTAGAATATCATACCTTGTTGAACTCGTAGCTTAATTTGCGTTTAAATCTGGACATTTTATTTTTAGCAAAAAATTATGATACCCCTTATCAAAAATGCGAAAATTGGTGAAAAATGTAGTTTTCCCGAAAGTAATGGTGATCGCTTAATAAGGTTTCTACCTCTCCAAAGAAAAATAATATTTTTACCAATATCTTTTAGTCGAAAATAAGGTTACTTCGAAATTAAGTTTCAATACCTAAACTAACTGTCTAAATATAAAGGTCGGTAGGTACTATTTTAATGTATGTAATGTGTTATCAGTCATAAAACAGTCTTAGAAACTGAAACCCGGCTTCTTCCTTTTAAATAAAACCACAACAAATTTTTTTTCACATTTATTAAGCACTTTACAGTGCATTTCTTATTTTGTTCAGCAATAGCAAAAAAAAATAATATTGAAAAAAATAGGCTTAAGTCTAGGCATTTAAAAATTGGTTAGCAAAAAGTTTAAATTCACATTTAGATGTTATATCATTTCTTTCGAAAGTTCAAATTTTTTTAGTTGCTAGTACAATCTTAGTGGAAAATATGATTGCTTAGTTTAAAATACTTAAAAAACGATCCATGACGTTTAGTGTTATTCTCTAAACTAATGTTTAATTGTAGAATTCTATCGATTTCACTTGGCTGGCAGCTCAATTAAAGAACATTATTTATTGCTTATACTTAGTTTAAGTAATTCCATTCGTTATCTGACTGTCGGTTGTTTTTATGGTTAAATAAATATCCTAGCATGAGAGAATTTGGAAATATTTACAAGGTTGATGGGTTTTGGACCTGGTGCTGGTATTGATTTTACAAGTGGATTCGCGCCCTCTTCGCCTGACCGATTGAATCAGATTCACCCGGCACGACAGACACGGTTGGACCAGTTAGGAGATCATCATTTGCGGCTCCACGCGAAGTTCAAGCTGTTTCCTACTAAGCTCCTCCATCCTTCGCATCGCCAGGCGGCGGAACCTCCTTCATGGACTCCACCTTGGCCACAATCTTGAGGGCTGGGCCCAGCTTCATGCCCATGGCGTGCACCAGATGGTTCTCCTTGAGCAGCAGCAGCGCCTGTCCGTCGATCTCTTGCTGAACAAAGTCGTCCACGTAGTCCTGACACCCGGGCAGTTCTCGGATGAAGTTGCTGACCTCCTCCACACTCCAGCTGCTAATGGGCGGGCGATCCGATCCATTTACACTCGAAGACGTGGGCCCCGCAGCGGGAGTGACTGCAGGCAGTGGTGCCAGGGTGGGAAATGCAACTGGCAATGGCGATCCCAGGGGTATTGCGAGGGGAGAAGAGGCTGGAACGGCAGCCACCACTGGCAGTGGCACCTCCGTTGAAGCTGCTGAAAGAGATTCCGACATGGACTGCATGGCCTCTGTCTGCATCTTCTCCACAGCCATAGCCTCGTCCAGTTTGTCCACCAATGCCATGGCGTCCACTCCAACGATTCCGCCGGTTCCCAGACCGTTGGTCTCTCCTGTTCCGACTCCCCCGATGCCGTTCTTCGCCTGTCTGGCGCATCCCGGCGAACAGTAGCGCTTTCGCTTGAGCTTCGCTTTGTGCTCCAGCTTGCCGCACTGCTCGCAGGCCACCATGTCCGAGGCTGGAGCAGATGCTATTCCAGTTGGCTTCATGTCCTCCTGCATGGCTGCCTTTTTCTCTGCAGAAAGGAAGGTTGAGGTGAGATTGGGATTATGTAACAATGGCCGTAATTTGTACATACTTGGCGGCTCATCGCTGACGTCCTTGTCCGCATACCGTTGTCTGGTGACGGGGAACGGTTCATTGGCCTCCTGGATGATGAAACCATCGATGACATGGGTCAATACACTTGGCTTTATCATCGCCTTCGGCAGATCCTTGGCTCCCACGCTGTTGCTCGTCGTGGTAGTTGTGGTGACAGTCGTGCAGCTCGTCGTTGAAGTGGAAGTAACAGAAGTCGCCACCTTGGGCTCTTCCTTTCCACTGGCACTGGTGGGAGTGGAGCAGCTGCTCGTTGGCTGCACCGCATTGCTCTGTTTACTAGTGGGAGTGGTGGCGGCCTTCGAAGGCGTGGAGGCCCGATCCGAGGCTTCCCCGTTGGGCAGAGCCTCACTCGTGGAACTACTGGCCTCCACGGACGCACTGACATTGGCGGGAGTGGAGGACTTGGGTGTGCTGCAGCTGTCCTGGCCCGAAACAGGCGTCATGGGCGAATCAATGGGCACCAGGGTGGCGGTGGGCACTCTCGAAGGTGTCTCCTTGGAGGGCGTGCTGGGAAAGCTTCCTCCTCCTCCTCCTCCGCTGCTGGCACTGCTCAGCGTGACCAGCTGACCCGGCGACGGAGTGACAGCGGTGCTGGTCACAGAAACAGTCACGGGCGGAGCGGTAGACAGGTGGCCCACCGTGGCATTCATCATCGAGGTCATGGCCAGAATGGGATTGGTGGTGGGTGAGGGCGTGGTGGGCGTCAGTGAAGGGGGTCCCTGTTGCTGCTGCTGCTGCTGTTGAGATGCTGCTGCAATGGTGGCGCTGATCAGCTGCTGCTGCTGCTGGTGGATCTGAGCAGCTTGAGCCTGTGCCTGCATGCTGGCCACCGTGCTGCTGGTGACCAGGGGAGTGCTGCTCTGGTTGGTGATGGTGACCACACTGCTGGTGGGCAGGGAGGAGGAGCTGCACGTGACGGGCTTGGCTGTTTGGAAGATGGCGCCCGAGGCGGAGAGAGCTGCCTGCAGGGCACTGGAGGTGGCTATTCCGGCTGGCGTCGTCGTCGAGGAAACCGAGAAGGGCACGCTGCTCAGCTGCAGCTGTCCAGATTGCTGTTGTGCCTGCTGCTGCTGCTGCTGGGCGCTGGCTCCGCCCGACTGCTGCACCACAATCTGCTGGATGATGTTCTGCTGCTGCTGCTGCTCCCGCTGCTGTTGTTGCTGCTGCGCCTGGGCCTGCACCTGGGCTTGAACCTGTGCCTGCGCCTGCGCCTGTTGCTGCAGCTGCTGCTGGATCAGTTGGTTGTGGAGCTGCTGCTGCTGCTGCTGCTGGTGGGAGGTGATGAACTGGTTGGGCGCCACCTGGAGGATCTGCTGAGTGGCGTTGGCGAGTGCCTGCTGCTGCTGCGCCTGAGCCTGGGCGACCTGCTGTTGCTGCTCCCTCTGCTGCTGCTGGGCCTGCGCCACCGCCTGCTGCTGCTGCGCCACCGCTTGCTGGTGCTGGGCGTTGACCTGCTGCTGCTGGGAGACTTGTTGCTGCTGCTGTTGCTGCTGCGCCTGCACTGCCGCCTGCTGCTGCATCTGGATGGCGGCGATCTGCTGCTGGAACATCTGCTGCTGCAGGAACTGCTGCTTCTGGATTAGCTGCAGCTGCTGTTGCTGCTTGTCCACTCCCGTGGTGGCCGAGTGAAGTGTTTGGCCATTCTGCAGGGTGATGGGAGTGCCCGTCGTGCTCATCACAACCATTCTGTAACGATTTGAGATAGTTAGTGGGGTACATTGACAATAAAACAGTGTTAACTCACTTGTTGCCCGCCGCATTGACCACCTGCTGCAGATTCGTCGCCTGCTGCTGCTGCTGCACGGTGGTCAGGTGACCCACCACCTTGTTCTGGCCCCCGACCTGACCATTCTCCGTCTTCAGGGTGGGCAGTGCGGGTCGCACCGGCTGCTGCTTGTTGCGCATCTTCGCCTTCAGCAGACTCTGGTTCTGGGCCGTCTGTGTGGACACGGAGCTGGCCGGACGCACTTGGGTTCCATTGTGGGGCATGATCGGGGCCCCCGGTCGCTGCAGAGCTGCTGCCGTGAGTTGTTGCTGCTGCTGCTGCAGCTGGGCAGTGGCCACAGCCAGCTGCTGCTGCTGTGTCTGGTTGGTGGTGCCTCCCTGCTGCTGCTGCTGCTTAGGAGCCAGTGCGTCGAGCTGGGTGCGTGCCTTGGTGGGGGTCTGGGTCACATTGCACTGGATGATCTCTGTGGGGAGATAGTTTGACTTGGTAACTTGATTTACAGTAACAATATAATATTCTTACGGTTCTGCTGCGTCTGCAGGGTCTGGGTCGTCGGCTGCTGCTGGATAAACATGCCCTGGGTTCCGTCCGGCTGGTTTCGCAGGATGATCTGGTTGGAGCCGAAGGGCTGCAGTCCTGCCGCATTCTGCCAGAACCAGGGGATCTGCATCTGCTGCGCCTGGCCGGCGTTGAGGAGCTGGGCAGTCTGGACAGACTGAACAGACTGGGCGCCCACTCCGACTGGCAACGTCGACTGCGAGACCTGGACGCACTGCTGGGTGGTTTGGGTGGTCTGCTGCTGCTGCTGTTGGACCTGCTGCACTTGCTGGGCCTGGGTCGTCCCAGCGGATCCTGGTCCCGTCGCCGCCTGAACCGTGCTGCTGGTGGTGGTCACCTTCTGGACCACCTTCTGGGCCAGCTTGCCCTGCGCATCCACCCCCACCTTGGCCAGGGCAGCCGTCAGCTGTTGCTGCTGCTGTTGCTGCTGCTGGGTGAGCTGCTGCTGCTGTTGCTGCTGGCTGAGCTGTTGCTGCTGCTGCTGCGTGAGTTGCTGCTGCTGCGCTGCGGCTGCCATGGACTGCAGCAGGTTCTGCTGCTGCTGCGGCGAGTGGGAGATGACATTCACCGGCGAGATGAGCAGCGTCTGGGGCGACTGGTTGTGGTTCGAGGGAATGCAGGTGGTGTAGTTGCCGCCGGCGAATCCCGCCTGGCCACCGATCATCTGCTTGGCGTTCTGCGTCGTGGTGGTGAGCATCTGGGGGCCGTTGCCCTGGAACGGCTTGCCGGCGGTGATCACCTGAATGGGCTGCTGGCCGAGGCCGCCGGGGTGCAGCAGATTGCCGGACACAATCATCTGCGGGTACAGGAAGCTGGTGGAGGGCTGCATCAGCTGCACCGTCCTGCCCTGCGACCAATCTCCGTTGGCAGCTGCCAACTGCATCGGTGACATGGTGCTGATGGCGGTGGAGTGCTGCTGCTGCTGCTGGCTTTGCTGGGAGTTGGCTGCTGGACTAGGTGCACCGCCAGCGCCGCCGCCGCCCGAGCCTCCTCCTCCGCTGGCCTCCGAGAGCTGCTGCTGCAGTTGCAACTGCTGCTGGACATCCAGGATGTTGGCTGCATGCTTCAGCTCGGTTCCACTGGCACTCGTCGTGTGCGTGGGAAACTCCTGCTTCACCTGGATGGCGTAGGGATTGCTCGCGTAGAACTGCTGCAGTTGCTCCGGTGAGATCTGCAGCGGCACCGTGGTGGTGGTGGCCACCTGCTGGCCGGGATTCTGCGCCTTCTCCAGCGTAAGGCCGGTGTGGCGGGCAAGGGAGTGGGTTTGGTTGTGGGTGTTGGGTGTACTGGGTGCACTCGGCCTGCCCGGTGTGTTTGGGGTGTGCGTCTGCCTGCGGGCGGTGGGCGGAGTTCCGTGGCGATGGCTTGTGGGGGTGACTGTGCCTGCTGATCCCGTTCCTGTTGCTGATCCTGCTCCTGTTGCTGATCCTGATCCTGGAGTCGCCTGCTGCTGGGCAATGCCGGGATGCGGGGGACTGGCCACATCGTATTTCTCGTCGAAGGTGATCCCCGCCTTCTGGGCGAGAGTTTCCAGGCACTTCAGTGGCCGCTCAAGCTGCTTGCCGCCGGCCTGCTGCTGTTGTTGCTGCTGCTGCTGCTGCGGATGCGAGTGTGTGTGTGTGTGCTGCGAGTTGTTGTTGTGGTGGTGCAGGGGTTTCTCGCGGATGTTGGAGTTGTCTTTCAGGGGCAGAGTGTCGGGGGATGCTGTGGTGTTTGCTGTTGTGGTGGTGGTGTCGCTGTCGGTCGCTCTGTGGGATCAAAAAAAAAAAAGAAAAGAGGAAAGAGTTCAGAAATAAGTAACCATTTGCTTAACCGAAAAAAAGCAAATCATTTTGGACCGCACGCAAACAAAGCTGGAAGAACCGAGCTCCTAATGGTCTTCCCTTGTCCTAACGACAAACAATAACAAACCAATGCAAACAGGTTGTCAAACATAAAAAGAAAACTAAGTGAAACATGCTCTTAAGCTAAATTCCAACTAAAGATACAAATACTACTTAAAATCCTTGAGATGGAAAAATAAAATTATTTTAAATACAGCAAAATAATATGTCAAAGTAAAGTAAACTGGTAATAAAATTAAAGTATTTCATTTCTTCCTTTCTTGGTAAACATAAAAATCTGTATTTTGTCATTCGAACATGTGTGAGAAAAATGCTGGAACAAGCAAACAAAGAGGCTCTTATTGAAAAAACATATTGACAAGGTAAATATTAAAGATGACTACTTGAGAGTGGCAGAAAAAAATGCGGGAAAAGTAAATTAAAGGCAAAAAGGTAAAAAAGTGCAATTTCCAGATTTATACCCTTAAATTAAATCACTTAAAAATGTTTATTTTAAGCAGAAGGAACCCTCAATGTTCATTCATTTTCCCACAAAAAAAGTGTCCAACGATTTATTGGGAAAGATTGTTCCCTAGTTTACTTTTAGGTAGAAAGAAACCGAAACCGATCCCGATCCCGAAATATTCTTTCATTTTGTAAACCTAAAACCGCCCTTTTCGAGCGACAATAAACACATTTGGCAAAATGCGAAAAGGACTTTTGCATCCATTGAAAGAAAAGAAAGGAGCGGGCTGACAGCCATCGCATCGATCTCTATCTATGGGTTTTCGAATTTCCATTTCCATGTGAAGCACCGCAGCCGTATTCGTTTTCCACATTTGAAAACACAACAACCGCCGGAAGACCGGGAAACTAATTTAGCCACGCAGCTGGCACCGTTTGATATTATTGTAGAATGTAGAAGGGCAATAAAGCCGATGCGAATTGCAGGCGAAGTTCAAGGACCTTCCCATCGAAATGCTAAAAATGCTGACAGTTGGGAGCAACACGAGATGGTTAGTGTTTCATACAGCCGCGGTCAACAAAGTGGGCTTAGCGGATTTACATTTTTCTTAATTTTTGAGGAACCGCAAGATCGACTACTTAAATAATAATACATTCATATTCATACCGATAATTATTTTATAATATTTAGTACTTGTAAAGTAATATATTAACATCATTATAAAAATGGGTTGCAAAATAAATCAACATAGTATTATAATAAATTATAATAAAAATAAATTACAAAAAACTAATTTATCCCTTAATAAAGAATAAACTAATAAAATATAGCCCGAACGTTGTGTTTTAATTTGTTGACCTCTGCTGTGATGCCGAGCCGGAGAGGCTGATCCCTCGCCCTCCTCCTTCCCCTCACCCAAAAAGCCCGCGAGGCCCATAAAAAGCGAGAGCATAAAAGGCAAAAGTGGAAAGAAGGCAGAAGAACAAGCGAAATGGGTTATAAAAGCCGGTAAAAGCATTTTGGTAACCCTCGTATCGCAACTACCCCGCAAAAACACAAAAAAGAAGGGAAGAAAGGTAGGAAAGGGTGGTGGGCGGTCTAGAGGGGTGGATTTTTGGTTTTCCCGCCACGGGGTGGTGGGTGTGCGTGTGTAAGTAAGTGTGTAAGTTGAGCTCACAGCCACCCGCAGTAAAAACGTCTTGAGAAAAGGAAAAAAAGACTGGTTTCCAACTTGGCGTAGAGTATGTGTGTTTGTATATCTGGATGTGTGTGTTTGAGAGCCTCTTACAACAATTTTGTTGCAACCAGGGGAAAGCAGTAGCATAAGGAAAGGGGAAGGACTGATAAAAATGCGGGGAAAACAAACACATACACACACATGCGCTTCAAAGAGGGGGGGAAGAATAAAAGGGAGCTCAAATTCAAATCAAACATCAGTTCCAGTGGAATCAGGCGTGCAAAATGCGGGAGAGCGAGTGAGAGGGTGGTACGACAGCCTTTTGATTGATTCACAAACGAGTTTTGCAATCAAAAAGGATAAAACAAATGCGAGTAAGCGAGATGAAGCTATGGTACACAAACTCAGGCGTAGGTGTAAACAGAGTTGTCATTTACCTTTAAAAAATATATTCATTTAAATATGTTCAAACACTTATATGGTTTCAAATACCACATTTTTTTTAATTGTTCAAAATAAATCAAATAAATTTACATTATGAATATGCAAATTCTTTCCAAAATAGAATTTTATTTTTAAAATTATCAAAGCCCTGATCATAAAGATTACAATTTAGTTTTGTTTTCAACAAACGATTTTAAGATATTAACTATAAAAAAAATGCACTTTTTATTTTCCCTATTTTGGTCAATGTTGACAACCTTAAATTTTTGTTTATTTCAGCAGAGAGAGAGAGAGAGAGCGAGAGAGAATTGGTGGGAAAGAGGAACCAGGGTTGCATTTGCAACAACAAAAACTGTTACTTTTGCCAGAACTTTTGTTTGTTATTATTATTATTTGGTCGAGAGTGAGAGCAAGGGAGAGGGGAAAGGTAAATCAACCACCACCAGGCGACGCACAAGCCCAAAAATACAAAAAACACAGGCATGCATTGCGAAATTCGTTGTCAACAATGCAACAACACCGCACAGCAGGGGGCGTGTGTCGAATGAGGAGGGGGGAGGGAGCAGGGCTGTCGCAGGGGAAACTCGTTTTTGGTATTGGGGAATTTTTCCTTTTTTTTTGGCCCGCCAGTCAAACGCATTTTATGATGACAGAACACAGAATATCTCTCGCTGCATTTTTACGAGAATAATGATTAACGTCTCACGATCCGGACAATAAACAATTAATACTTCAGTGCATATTTAAACCCCGAACAAACAACAAAAAGCACGAGTGCAATTGCAAGCAATACAATAAAATGATAAAATAAAACGAAACCAAACGAAAAATACCTTTTTTGCATAAACTTCAATGCACGACGATCCATTATTCAAAATAAAAACAATATGTGTAATAAATTAAAGGTATGCATGCGTCGGCGGTGGCGTTTTGTTTTTGTTTTCAGCGGCGGTCGGTGTTGTTGTTGTTTTTATTGGCATTGCGCTTTCTTTTTGGCTTGGCCTTTAGTTGCTCTTCTCTTCGTAGTTTTTGTATTGAACATTAACAAACACACATATATGTACATATATATATGGGGAGGCAATAAATATAAATATAAACATACAGCAGGCAACAACAAACAGATATGTAACGTGGAACGCAAGACAACAAAATGTACACAGAAACGAATACGAAAATCCGACGAACGTCCCACTGTCCCGGTGTGTGTGTGTGTTCCAGTGTGTGTGTGTGCTTGCGTGTAAATGAGTGTTTTTCGTGCACGGGCAGTAGTAATTAGTACAAACTCCACTCACACTCCACTTCCACTTTCTCTCCGTTTTCCCCGCTGGCAGCGTCACTTTTTTGTCTCAGTGTAACCGCGACTAAGCACCTGTGCACGCGATCTTACATAAAAAATATCACAATTCAGCGGCAACAGCTCTAGACGCTTGTTTTTATTGCACTGCCTACGTCGCCAGCGACGGTTCGCCAGCAAGGGTTTCCACTGTGGCGCGGCATCACTTTTTCATCCGGGCCCACTAGTTTCCAGCACCGTTAGCACTTTTCAAAAAATAATTTAATTCCTAGGGTATCAAGTGTGTGCGTCGCGTCGGCGCGAGAATTTCCCCGTTCTCAATACAAGTACGATAATACAACACGAAGGCAACACGAACGCGGAGCAGAGCGCAAGAACCGCACGCCGCCAAGTTTAGTTTCGAAATGAACCGCGCGCCCCAGCGACAACTCTACGCTCGCTCTCTGTTCGGTTGGGAAACAAAATGAAGTGCGCATGTGTGTGTCCCTGCGCTGGTGTGCGACTGCGGGAAGGGGCAGCTGGAACTAATAACTTTTCTCTATACCGAAATGCGCGGGTGCGAGTGCGACGGCACTAGGGGCGGCCCGGGCCGGAGAGCGCGTGCGAGCGGGACGCCCTCTGACCGCTTGGGGTTGGAAAGGAACGGCAGCAGTTCAGTTGGCACAGCAAAACGAGTAAAAAATCCGGAATCGAGGCTACAGCTGGCGCATCTGTATCTGTGTGTGTTCAACCACCCCGACTGCGGGCCCCCTCCCCTTCCGAATCCACTGCTGAAAAGATACCCGCGACCGAATCCAGTTTTCTGTGTCTGTACACTCGAATGTCTACCGACTCGAGTCCGATTGTTGCTATACTTCATCTTCTTTTTTTCGCTCCATCACAACCACCGCTACCTACTCTGCCTCCACCTCCTGTCTCCCTCCCTCTGGGCTGATTCCGTTTCGCATCGGATCGGTCGGCTTTACTTTATTATTAGTTGTGCTTGTCGGAAACAGACGGTGGAAGAGAAGGAGGAGGGGGTAGCGTATGCGCAGAGGCCGAGGCAAATGCTTTTTTCACTCACTCTGCCGAACAGTGGCGTGCGATCCATTATTATGGGATTGCATTCACTTTGGCTCTGCTGTTTTTGTCGCATGAGCACAGTGGTTCTATTCCCATTGCGACTGTGGCACTTTACCCAAAATTATATTACTTTTTAAAAATACATAATATTTACCATTTAAAAAACTAAACATCGTCTTTAAAATATTGACTATTTTAATATTTTTTATTGTTTTTATTATATATTTTATTTCCACCACTCTCGTCCCACTGTGCCTGTCTCTGGCATTTCATTTTTCATTTTGTGCTGCCTGCGTGTGTGTGTATTTTTGTATGGGTGCGTTGCTTTGGCTCTTGTCGGTCTTCTTCTTCCCCTCCCTTCCCTTCCCCTTCCCATACCCACCAACAACAACGCTGCTGAGCCCCACAAATGCTCATCATTCCGATCGCTATTGTTGTTGTTGGGTTCGACAGAATCAGAATTTCGTCTCATTTCTTTTGCTTTTTGCTGCCGCCATATTATTTTTATGCCCGTTAAGTGCTTTTGCTCTCTCGCTCTCTGCTTGGCTTTTTGTTTGCTTCTGGTGCATGTGTGTGTTTGTGGGTTCAGCTTGGTATTGGGGCTTCGGTTTTTTTCGCCGAGCTTTTTTCTTATTAGTTGCGGCCTCCTCCTTCGCCGTCGCTTCCCTCTTTCGCCTCTTCTTCGCACGCTCAACTGTACAAGAAGTCGAGCATGCGCTCTTCTTCTTGCCATTCAATTAATTGCCTCCAACTTATTGGGTTGTTGTTGTTGGGGTGAATGGTGAGGGGGCTGTGAGTAAGAGTGAGAGAGCGCTATTATTTGCATTCGGTAAAAATGACAAATGCTTAATGAGCGTAAATTGCTTTGCGCGTGCTTTACTCACACTCGCACACTGCCTCTCGCTCTGGCGCATTGGGTCTAGCATGCGGCCCTCTCCCTCGCTCGCTGTAATAGAAACGGACACTCACACGTACATATGTATGTATGTATGTACCTGTCTTTGTTGTACTGTTGTTGGACAATTGCCTGAATTTCCAACACCATTTTTGTTGGAATTATCAACATCTGCATACAACAACTGGAATGCATGTGGATATGCGCTGGTGTGTGTGTTTTGGGCGACAATCAAAAGTGGGTTGTTGGTAATGAAGTCCGTTCCTGGGTTTTATTGTTATTAGGCGTGGCCAGAAATAAAAATGGATCAACAAAAGATCACCACCAAAATAAATGGTAGTCAAAATTCCAACGGATATGGTTTTTGGGTTAACGGTAAACCATAATAAGTCTTTTAATCTTTTTAATGTAAAAAACTTAATTAAGTTATTAGAAAATGGTAAATATATTTTTTAAAATTTGTTTTTGATATTACAGAAATTGAAATAACAGAAGTTGAAATAAAAATTTCATATTTGCAGCTGACTTTTCCCTGCACTATAACATTCGCTCTAGCGTAAAAACTCTATAGAGCCAACTCATATAATGGATAATTCCAATGCCTAATGTTTCCTTTCTTTAGCAGCCCCTAGTTCCTTTATTATAAAAAAGTCTCCATTGTTATTAACTCACCCCCGGTGCATTATATTTGCCATTGTCCTTACAGAACACTTAATTGACCTGTCAACTCATGTGTAGCGTAAACCGGAAGTCCTCGATATTAGTGGTGGATGAAATGTTTCGGTAGTCCGTTGGGTCGTTACATAGTGACAGTGGTATACGCTACCCAAAATAAATGAAATTAAAATTCGAGGTAAGTTTCAATTTCCTTTACGTTAATTGGAATTCCAATATTTATATTTTGCCCCTGCCGATACGCTATAAAATAAACCATTATTATAAGCCATCGTAATAAAGTAACTTATTTAATCAATTAATATCATTTTAATTGTATTCCATTACAATTTTAGAATAACATTGTTTCTGCTGTATCTGAAACTGAAGGCTCTACTATTTCTAGTCCCTGTTCGGGCGCCACTTTATAATAAAAACCAAGTGGGTAAAAGGTTATATTATATTCGTTGGAAAGTATGTAAGAATTAGAAGGAACCGTTTCCAATCGTATAAAGAATATATATTCTTAATCAGACTGGCCACATCGATCCAGCCATGTCCGTTTGTCCGTGTAAACGCAGAGATCTCAAAACTACAAATGGTTCCTGTCATTAAAATGATTTGGGCGCTAGGTGTAGCTTTACTGCTTGCTTATCTCCATTACACAAATGTAATTTGGAAAACCGTGTTTCAATCATTATCTATAAAATAAATCGCATCGAAACTGTACTTTCGTTCGCGATTCGATGCGATCCTCTAAAAAATAAACAAGAAGCCCGGAAAAAGGGTTGCGCCATTTGACACTTGCCCTTCCGTGCGACCTTTGCAACCACACAACCCACCCTTTTCCACCATTTTTTGGCGACTCGACGAAACGATTTCCAAAACAAACATGATACAATTACCCTCAAAAGAGAAACAATTCGTTTATCCAAATGGGCTGTACGGAATCCAACCCCTAAGCTCATTAGGGGTGTGAACAAGCTGCTGGAATTGCGAAAAACTCAGGTACCGTTTACTTTTTAATCCCTACAGCCCTCATTTCTGGTCAATGCATCTATCACTTAAATCGTCATCTAATCATGTCATTGTTGCGTTATCTATGTATTGTAAGTTTTATAAGGGTATCGATACCGATTAGGGTACTTTACCTTCTGCCTTGTTTCTGCACATATAAAAAAACACCAAAAATAGTCATCAATCGGGAATTTTTTAATATCAATTTTGCTCCGTTCTGTGTGAAATCATACCATTTTGTTATTGATATGAAACAATATCAATCCCATATTGATATTGTTTTAGCCATTCTTTTTGGTGTACAACTTTTAACCTCTTACACTTAATTGAAATTTCTTAAATAGTGTGTCTTCTTACTTTGAAACCTGATCAAATGTTTCACAATCGTAATCAAAACCACAATCACAGCCCCTGACCCAAGTAAATTTATTATACATTATACATAGATTGAAAACACTGTGATCTCGATAGATCTGCTAGTAATGTAAAACTTACCAAATAATACTTTTTGCAAAAAAACATTTTTGGGTAATGTGTTTTGGGTAAAAGCGCTGACCATTACACTTAAAATAACTTATTTAAATAAGATTTTTTTTATTGGTATTGTGTAAAAAATGCGATAAACATATTTTTTTTTAATTTTAACAACCCTTTTCTACAAATTTTTCTAAAAAACAGCTCAACTAAAAATAAAAACAAATAATCCTTAACATAGTGTTTCCAAACTACAAGTCGATAAATTAACAAAATATAAAGTATAATTTAGGAGTTATTTTGATTTAGAACTAAAACTATAAAATAAATTCCAAGTTCTCCATTTTGTTTCGAATACAACAGCAACAACAAATAATGCTTACAAAATGCCGACGGAAGATCGAAGAGAATAAAAAATGGGCGCACCACCAAAAGAAAAAGTGTTTTATTTTTAGTAGGGGTTTGAGGGTGCTACAGAGACAGCACTATTGTGCGTTGCGCAAGGGAGAAAGGGATGGAGGTATACTGGATGGTTAGAGGTGGGGGATTCTCACAGTTTTTGGTGGGCGTTGCCTGTGCGTGTGTGGTGAATTCGAGCGACAGTATAACAGTTGCTTGGCAATAACCAAAGAAAACAAATGTTACATTATTTTATTATTCAGTAAATTACGCGTTAAATACTTTAAGGATAATACATTTTAAATATTTTTAATCTTACGTAATTTTTACTACCTTTTAAATTTGTTTCTAATTACATAATTAGTAAAAAGAATCTTAGCTAAACTCTCAAGTGTTTAACATAAATGATTATGATTATGATTATTTTATGATTACAACTGTAAACACGCCTTTTACGCCTTTTAAAACACAGTGTGTTTTTGCACTCAGAAATGCTGCTAATTTTAAAATATCTTGCATTCAAATGAGTGCATAAAATGTTTATTTCAATCTAAAAAAGGAAAATATTGCTTAGGTCCCGCTAATCCCCGCTAATAATCTGACAAATTTTTTAGCTGGTAATCCAGAGTCCAGAAATAGTAAAGAAAACTTAATACAAGACCCATTTTTATAATTAAACCCCACTTTACCAGATTTTGCTAACAACAAAAATAATACTAAGAATAAAATTAGGAAACCCCCTGGCATATTTTTAGCATACGCCCCTGCATGTTTTTTTCGAAAAGCTCCGTTGGCGCTCTCGCTTTGGGGAGCTTTCTGCCAGCGATCATATGGCCCATCTTATCTCTCAACTAATTTGCCCCCTTTTTGCGTTTCGATTTTTCAGTTGCTGTTTGTTGTGGTTCCGGTT